ATTTTGCACTATGAATTGACTAATTGACCAGTTGAGCTATCCCACCGAGTGAAATCTGTTTAGTTGTGCTACCCCAACTGCCTTATGTGCTTTCTCTTTTGATTGGTCTTAGTCACAACCTAAATTAAAGAAAAATATTATTTTAATAAAAGGAATGTTATCAGAGTTGCCAAAATATAAATTTTTAATGGTACAATAATTGCTTACTAATAAATATTGTCTATGACTCGATCTACTCGTGTCAAATAGGTGGGTGTAACTAGACATGGCAAAAATGACCCAATCCGTTTTTTACCTGAGACCCGACCCGAAATTATCAAGTTTTGAACAAAGATTTCGTTGACCAAACCCGAAGATGATTGAAACCCCGCTAAAAATAGGGCGAACCCGACCTGACCGATCCGCTAATGTAAGAATTTTACGAAACTACGTATTTTAATATGGAAAATAATGTAATTAAAATAAGATTATGTGTTATCTTTTTCTTAATTATTACTCATTTTTAATGTATAAACATATATTTTGATACAAGTTTTTAAAGATGAGTATCACATTTAGTTATCTTATACTCCGTATTTTTTTCAAAATGTGATGCACTTTTTCTTTTTTTACGTACTACTCATTACATTGTTAAACATATCTAACGAGAAATTCAAAATTCAAAATGAATATTCTAAGAGGTTTAATATATGTATTTTGATATTTTATTACATGAGATATTTTTTTGGTGTAAAATGTAAGTGCTAGTATGACTTTCTATATTCTTAAAATAAATTTCATAACCCGTTGGGTTCTTCAAACCCGATGACACTAGTCACGAACATAGAATTCTTAACCCGGACCCGAACTTACCTGAACCCGATGTAACCCGAGTTTGAAAATGACAGAACCCAAACCTGAATCGTGCATGACCGACCGATTTGGCAGCTGTAGGTGTAGCACTAGTATGACCCTAAATATATGTGGGTTATTATTTTTAACTAGGGAGTAGGTGGTTCCCCAGAATATATACTTACTCCCACCCGCATTTATTGAATGGGGAAATTAAAGTAGTTTCATGAATTTGGGCTTTAGCAAGGAAAAGGAAACCGGCCGAATGTTAAGAAGGAAAGGGCGTTATTGAAGTTATATATGCTTGGCTTGACATGGAAAATACCAAGTACAAAGGAAAACTCTATAGATTTTGAAGATCCATCTCATTAATCTTGTTTTTTCTATGTATATTTTTCCCAATAAAATGGTTTCATCAATTAATGCATAATAAATATAACATACTTGTATGATTTCAGCTGACGAGTTGGGAATCAAAGAATTAGTGCCTGCCTATTTGGACCCCAATTTGAAACTCCAAGATCTCAAAACCGGTGTTAGCTTTGCTTCGGGTGCCAGTGGATACGACCCACAAACTCCACAAATTGTGGTACCTACCTACTTATTTTACCTAATTAGTTAATTAATTAATTATTATTCATGAATTACATTCCTTAATCTTGATTAATTATGGTTAGACCTGTCTTTCGTTTTAATTTTGATGGGTGACTAATAAATGCAATGAATAAATTTCAGTCGGTGATCCCGCTGTCCCAACAGCTGGAGTACTTCAAAGAGTATTTGGGAAAGCTGAAGGCCGCGTTTGGGGAGGAGGAAACGAAGTTCATAACCGACAACAGCCTGTTCCTGGTGGTGGCCGGCAGCGACGACCTCGCCAACACCTACTTCACCGTCGGCATCCGCCGCCTGAAATACGACGTCGACGCCTACACCGACCTCGTCGTCAGCGGCGCTTCCGCCTTCATCCAGGAAATCTACATGCTCGGGGCGAGGAGGATCGGGGTGTTCAGCGTCCCTCCCATCGGGTGCCTCCCCTCCCAGAGGACGCTGGGAGGAGGGAAGAGTAGAGCGTGCGCGGAGAACTACAACCAAGCCGCGTTGCTGGCGAACGCCAAGTTCTCCGCCGCCCTACATTCCCTCTCCAACACCTTGCCCCGAACCAAACTTGTTTTTGTCAACATCTACGATCCCCTCCTTCGAATCATCCTTAACCCTCAACAATATGGTACGTACGTACTTAACGGCGGCCAAACATTTTTCTTTTTCTCATCAAACAAAATATATACAGTGGAGTATTTTTTTTTTACCATTAACTAATATAATAATTACATGCAGGATTTACGGAGGTAGAAAAAGGGTGTTGCGGGACAGGAAACGTGGAAGTGGCAATTTTATGTAACAAATTTTTACCGACATGTGAAGAACACGACAAGTATCTGTTTTGGGACAGCTATCATCCCACGGAAAGAGGGTACAAAATCCTAATTGGTCAGGTCATCGACAAGTATATCCCTCAATTTTTCTGAACCCATTCAAATTAATTGGACTGATGATCCTTATTATTATTATTATTATTATTATTAATACTCCCCATAATAAAAATACATTACACACAAGCTAAGGATCGGAGGAGGACAATTATTGTATTTTTTATTATTAATCAAGAAACACCCATCCATTCATTATATTCAAAGAAGCTAATTAAGGCTACTAAAAACAGCGCTCGGCTAATTAGCATCCTTGTATAATGGTTGTGTATGTAGTCATTATTATTGGACTTTATTTTAATGTAATTTTGTTTTGGTTTGCTTAATATATATTTCATGTCTATCTTCAATTCTACAATACCAAGAAATTGTTTTTAGCTTTGTATTGTGGTAAACTATTCGTCCCAAAACTCCTTCCTTTTTTCTTGTCCGACGAAATCTTTTCATTTTTTATATTAAAAACTACTTATATCCTTATTAATTCTTAACCTACCTATCATATCATATATTTTTATTACTTCCTACGTTTCTTAAAAAGACTTCCTATTTTGACCAAGTGTAAATTAAGGAAGTGTTAAATTGTAATAGATGTCCAATTTTGCCCTTGATGTGATGGATAAAAGTAAGATGTGATGGATAGAGAAAATGTATGATGTGATCCGATAGGGTATGAAAAATTAAGAATTAAAGTCATTTAATAGAAAGTGGAAGTATTTTTTTAGAAAGAGAAAAAATGAAAGAGAAAGTGTTTTTGAGAATGGAGAGAGTAATAATCTACTAATAATATATATCCTACTTTTATCCATCATATCAAGGGTATTTAATTTTTGGAAAGAAGAAATACTAAATTATGAGAAATGGGGACATCTTTTTAGGACACAAGAAGTACTTAATTATAAGAAATGAGAAATTTAATTTGGACGTAGACAAGGGGGAATAATTTTACCCAAACATTGATATACAAGAGAGATCAGAAGATTAAATCCTGATGGAGAAAAAGAAGAAACAAAAAAATTATACCTAGACAGAATGAGTATTATTTTTTCAATTTATCAATAAAAATATGTCAAGAAAGATATTGTTTGATTTTCTAAATAGTAAAATTCGCACTTAATAGTGCTAAAACATACGGACTACGGAGTATATCTTTTCCCAATGTACTTTAACTTGTTTATTCTTTAAATAATTCTTGAATAGTGTCTAGTGGTAGAAACAATGTCCAATGATGTTAGACATTTAGTTTGAACAATGTCTAGTGTTAAATAAACACTACTCGTATGGTCCATATTATTTCAATTTTACATAAATTCCAAGCACATAATTTCATATATACTCTCTCCATTCCTGAATAATTGCGCACTTTATTATTCTAACTTTTTGATAATTTTTAATTACTTATATATTTTTTTATTCTTTATTTCATAAAACATTGATTTAATTAAGTTTTTAATGTAAAAGTGTACCAACTAAAACAGTGTAGGAAAAGATAAAAGAAAATTGACGTGGTCGATACAAATGGTGAGAGGGTCTCAATGGGGTAAAGCTTTAAAAAATTTATGCAAACCGAAAGAGATTACAACATAGAGAAAAGTATTAAAATATGAAACCGGAGTTCATCCTTTTTTAAGGAAAAGATCCAATAGAAATCACCCTAAATAGGATTAAAACATAGAGAAAAGTATTAAAATATGACTTTCATGTTCCCCCCTCTCCCGAAAAAGGACTTTGCACTGTAGTAATGTGGTTGTAATGTGGCACTGTACATGTGCACATGCATTACTATACTTTTTGGTAATCTACATGACCATGTTTGGTAATATAAATTCATTTTAAGTCCTATTTCGGAAATAAAAACATGGAAGTCTTATTTTGATATATTTTCAATGTTTTAGCCCTAGTTTGGTCTTTCAACCAAACCCAAAGTGTCAGTAAATACATACTCCCTCTGTCCCGTGAAACATTTCCCCTTTCTTTTTTTATCCGTCCCACAAAACACTTCTCATTTTTATTAAAAAGTCACTTTTACTCCTTACTTTTTCATACCCTAACTATCACATCATACCTTTTTACTAATAATCTATCTATCAAATCATACTTTTATCCATCACATCAAAAGACATTTTTGGAAATTCAATACCAAAATACATTCCCTTAAATCCCTCCTAAAAAGCAAATGTCCCATGTTTCACGGGACGGAGGGAGTATATGATGCCAATATATAATACCAAAAATATTGTTATGAAATGTACGTATATATAGCGTCGCATACATTAACACATTGCAAATTCATATTTTAGGAATAAAAACATAAAACTTCTATTTTGATAGTATGTTTTTATTCTACCCCTATTTAGCATAGATTTTTTTAAAGATCTTTGTCCAACACACACTCCAATGACTCCATCTAAGACTGTTAGATATTTATTCGTTTTTCATGATAGATTTTACGGAGTACATGTTAGACCGGAGTACTAGTTGGAGCCGCCACGTAAAGAGTATCCTTTTGAGTCAAGAGATTGTGTAGTTTTTCATCTTGGGAAAATCACCTCAATTTTCTAGCGAAAGTAATTAATAATTTTCCCGTCTTTGTGTTGTCAAAATGGGCAAAATCATATGACTAATCAAGAATAGCAAACACAACGACAAGCAATCAATCAAGCGATAAATGAACACCAAAATTTAACGTGGAAACCCCAAATCGGGGAGAAAACCACGAAGCCTTCCACTAATCACCAAGAAAATCAGTGGGTACACCAAGAATCCTCTCTAAATCAATTAGAGGTATACACAATCATCAAGTAACAACTTGGAACACCAAACAACAATAATCTTCACTCAAAAGTGAGAAAACCCCAATAAAAACGCAGCAGCAAACAGAGGCGATTTTACCGACATCGAGAGGTCAAAACAACAATCCCACCGTTGGATATGAAGAAGAGGATCTCAGGAACAACATACTAAAATTTCATCCCGATCGGAGCTTGTTTGGTCGTCGATCGGAGCACAAAACCAGGCTGCACCTCTCTTTTTCTCTCTTCTTCCTTCTCTCGGTTTTACTCTTTTTCTTCTCTGTTTTTCTGCTGTGCAGCTGTTCGGCTTCCTGCCGTGAGAAGCCAAAGGAAAGGCTGATACCCCTTTCAATAAAGTGGCAGCCCATAGGAAGTGGTAGCCCCCACCAATTTGACAAATTCCTTCTTTTATAATTATAATAATAATAATAATAAATATTATTATTATTATAGTAACCAACTCTAAACCAATTACATTTTTAACACCAAATGTATAGTTTATAAACTCTTTCCTCTATGTAGGAGGGATGCCCCAACAGTTGATGTGCTTTTAACTTGAAGTCATTGTTGTTCAAGGGCTTTAATTTCTTTTAGAGAGATTATTTGACCATATAGGGAAAATTATGTTAGATAGGACTTAAAATATATATTTCCTCCGTCCCAAAAAGATATATTCTCATTTTGACTTTTAGAAATTTAAGAAAAAGATATTTTTTTATTGATTTTTCAAAAATACCCTGATGTGATAGGTAAAAATAATACTCCCTCTGTCCATGAAAACCTTTCTTCTTTCTTTTTTCATCCGTTCCTAAAAATACTTCTTATTTCTATTAAAAATTCACTTTTACCTCTTACTTTTTCATACCATATTTATCACATCGTACTTTTTTACGAATAATCTATCCATTAATTTCTATTTTTACCCATCTATCCATCAATTTCTATTTTTACTCATCACATCAATTGACTTTTTTGAAAATTCAATACCAAAATACACTTTCCTTAAATCTCTTAAAAATCAATAACTCCCATGTTTTTAGGACTGGAGGGAGTATGTGATTGGTAGATTATTTGTAAAAAGGTATGATGTTGATAAAATTTAGGATTGGGTATGGACAATTGGACTTGACGATAAGACACTTGGGTTGAACCACATTAAAAGATTAAATCCAATCAATTAGTTAGTCCAACTCAAGAGCTTATATACCGATTATTTTATTCTAGAACTTCCTATGTGGGATGCACTTTAACACTCCCCTCAAGTGGACAATTGAGTCATTTTGGATCTAACCGGTTGACCACTTGCAAATGAACTGTCATTCCCTTGATTTTTTAGGGTCAACCACTAAAAGACCATGAGCCGATGAGTATGGACTTCGAGACAAGCAATTGTGTTAAACGGGCCACGGCCCGTTGGGTACATACTCCATACGGACAACTGGGCTAAAGATCAATGGGCCGCTATGAATGACATCTAGACAGACACCTTGACAAACGAGGTGGCAAAAACCTGCTCTGATACCATGATAAAATTTAGGATTGGGCATGGACAACTGGACTGGGCAATAAGACACTTGGGTTAAACCACATTAACAGATTGAATCCAATCTATTAGTTAGTTCAACTCAAGAGCTTATATATCGATTATTTTGCTCTGAAACTTTCGATGTGGGATGCAGTTTAAAAGTGTTCCTATTTTGACTTTGTGTAAAAATAAGGAAGTGTTAAATTGTAGTTGACTTCCAATTTTGCCCTTGATGTGATGGGTAAAAGTAAGATATGATGGATTGAGTATTAGAGAAAAAGTATGATGTGATAGGTAGGGTATGAAAAAGTAAGGGTAAAAATGGTTTTTTAATAGAAAGTGGAAGTGTTTTGTTGGAAGTAAAAAAATGAAAGAAGAAGAGTTTTTGAGAACGGGGGGAGTAGATGTGATAAATATGTTAAGAACTAATACGGATAGAAGTGATTTTTCAATAGAAAAAAGAAAAAGTTTGTGAGACAAGAAAAAAAGAAAGATGGAGTTTTTGTAACACAAGGGAGTATAATCGCTATTTTTTTTAAAAAAAACTCATCCTTGTGAGAATGTTTTAAACAAAAGCCTCAATATCATCTTTGTACTAAGGCCACTGGGTATGCATGTAACGCCCAATGGCGTTATTGCATTTTTAACGCCCAGGGGCGTTAAACACCGCCCCCCAGGGGGCTTCATCCGAGCGTGATATGCATTGCGTTAAACTTATAACGGGTGTTTTGCCCAATTTTCTTCAAATTTAAAAAAAAAAACTCTTCCTCTAAACACCCACAAAATATTTTCCTCTTCATTTTTTTTAAAAAAATAAAACTCTCAAACAAAATCTTTCTTCTTTAATTTTTTTTTAAAATTAAACACCCACAAAATCTTTTCCTCTATCTTCTTCAAATTAAAAAAAAATTCAATTTTTTTTCATCTTTTTAACATAAATATCTTCATTTTTGATGTTCCTTTGTCCGGTCTCGAGTCAAACGACCAAACGAATATAATTTTCTTTCGAGAGCAGACATAACGAGATCAAAGCGAAATATAATTTGTTTTAATTTTTTAATTAAATGTTCTTTTTTATTGAAGTTAATAATTTTCATTTAATGAATATATTTTTTTTATTATTCGTGTTTTAATATAATTAAATAATAAATTAATTACATTTTATTAATTTAATTTTAGAAGATGTATATTTAAAAATGTAAAAAATGAAGGTTTGAAGCCCCAGTTTGAAGCCCCGGGGCTTCAAACCCATTTCCAGTAAATTTTGGGTGTAAATTAAAACTGACGTGTCAGAGAGAGAAAGTTTGAAGCCTCGGAGCTTCAAATTTATTTCGAGTGCTCTAACAATCTTCACAGGCTCAAGAAAGTCACTTTCATAGTTTCATTAGTCATTAAAATCAATCCATTCAGACTTTATTACTTTAGAACAATTTTTAAAACCAAAATTAGAAACGAATATTCTTTAAAGTGAAATTTGCACTAAATATGACTAAAACATAATGACTTTCCTAATGTAGTAGGACTTAAACTTTTTTATTCCCTAAATAGGACTTAATAATGACCTAGTGGGAGGAATAATGTCCTGTAATGACGAACATTTACTTGAATAATGACTACTTCGTAATGACCAAAGGTCCTACATTGGAAAATAAAAACATATGGTCTTATATTGGGAAAGTCATTATGTTTTAGTCTTATTTAGGTAAATTTCTCAATTTTAAACCCAAAAATCAATCATCAAGAACAAATTGAAAGTGCATACAAAAAAGACAAATCAATTTTTAAAACTAAATCTTAAAATAAAAAACTAAATGAAGATGAAAACTTAGCTTTTTAAATTAAATTTAAAATTAAACTACTTAGAGCATGGGCAGCGGCATTCCAAGCCGTTGCCACGCCATGCCACCTAGGACAAAAGATTCTCTCTCCTTGCGTGGAAGCACCATTCCTCCCTGGGATGCAAGGCTTGGGCGAGGCACATCTAACCTATTTTTTCCTTCATCTCTCAATATCTTTTGTTTATTTGTATGTTTTCATTGATTATTTAATTAAAAAATTTTTGTCACATCTTTTTTGTAAAACTTTTGATGTAATCTTTAAATTTATAAGTTTTATTTTTAATTCTTATACCAATTTTTAAATAAAATGATTTTTAAAAACAAAGGTTTTTTGCATCGTAATTCTAAAATAATAATCTAAATTGAGATGAAGGAATAAATAAAAATATGGAGTAGATAACAAAAACATTTTTAATAATTAAAATATATAAAAAAAATTATTTATTTGAGTAAATAGAAATATTTTCATGATAAAAATATATAAGTAAAATAATTTTTAATAATTCAAATATGGAAAAAATATGAAAAAAGTGATGAAAACAATGACTTGCCACTGTAAGGCATGCCACTCCACTCACGTGCCACTCGTTGACTGGACTATTTTTTATTGGTTGAAATGCTCCGCGTCAGCGTGTGACATTTAATTTTTGCCTCACCATTGTTCATGCTCTTACACCCAGAAAGGTGCATAAGTAGGGACTATGGAGTATACACAATTTGAATACTAAGTTTAATTTCGGGCATGCTTATATTGTTTAAATTTCCTTTCTTCATATTTCATTCCCTCCATTTTGCTACCAACACTTAGTTATGTGACAATTTATTTGGGCAAAGAGTGTAACATCAACTCCCTTCTTTTGGTAGCTGAATTGATTAAAAATGAATATTATTACATTTCTACTCACCCAAATTTGCATTAACTTGAATTTTTTAATTTTTGAAACAATACAATAAATTAAGTCACCATGGTAATACATTTGAGGTGACCCAATTCACGAATCTAAACATCCACTAAAACGAGTATCACGTGCCAACAAATGTGTAGACCACGCCCCGTCATGCTCAGTGTGGCACGGCGGCCGATCACCACCTTTAATTTGGGAGAATCGGGACCAAAGGTAGTACTTCATACTCCAACTTTAATTTAATTTTTTTGAAATTAACAAGGAAATTTTTTTAAAACAAGTATCTCATCAAACATCTACCCCAATGACCACAAAAGACAGTAAATATTAAATCAAACAAGAATTCATTCCCACAAAATATGAAATCAAACTGTGTCATTAATTACTTGAAGAATTGGGGGAGATACTTGAGTAGGATGTGGTCAACAAGTATCCGGTAACCCTTTTCCGTGGGATGAAAACTGTCCCAAAATAAATACTTTTCGTGATCTTCGCATGTCGGTGATAATTTGTTGCACAATATTGACACTTCTAAATTCCCAGTCCCACAACACCCTTTATCGGTTACCTCCAGCCCTATTCACCAAAGGCAGTTATGTGTTATTATACAAAAGATAATCTTTGTACGGAGTATACTCCATCATGTCTCCGGCCACATGAGAGTGTGTTCTAGACTTCTAGAATACAAAAACTTTTCTCATTTTTAAGACCACTAAGTTTGAGTTTTAAGTTGATGAGTTGGTTAATTCCTTAGAGCCAGAGGAAGTGGGTGAGAGTGAATGATGTACCATATAGGGCAGGGTTTTGGATGAGTTGAAGAAGAGGGTTGTAGAGGTCTATGAAAACCAGCTTGGCATTTGGTAATGTGTTAGCTGATAGGGAATCAATCTCAGCTTGGAACTTCGAATTTGCCAACTCCGCCGCTTCGTTGTATTTCTCTACACAACCACCCAAACCACCACCTCCCAAAGTCCTCTCCGCCGGCAAACACCCTACCGGCACCTGGCTGAATACCCCTATCCTTCTTGCTCCCATTCCGTACAATTCCTAATATCAAACACTTTATATTGTTACACGGGTATGGAATAATATCTCATGACTCTTAAATAAAACACTTCTTCTTTCTTTTTTTTTTGGTTTTTTCACAAAAACTTCCACTTTCGATTAAAAAAATGACTTTTACTTTTATTTTTTCTTACCCTACCTATGATCGTATTTCGATTGATACGTACTTGGATGAAAGTGGAAGCCTTGCGGACTATAAGATCGGTGTAGGAATCAACGTCGTATTGTAACCGACGGAGTCCGAAGGTGAAGTAGGTGTTGGCAATGTCATTACTGCCGGCGACCACCAAGAAGAGAGCGTTGTCCGTTATGAACTTTGTCTCGTTTTCTCCAAACACAGCCTTCAGCTTTCCCAGGTACTCTTTGAAGTAGTCTAGTTGTCTCGACATAGGGACACTTGACTGCATTGTTTTTTTAACATACAATTCAATCAATAACATATCATTGAAGTAGTGAGTTACTACCATGAATGGATCATATATTACTACTCGTTCGAAGAAAATGATCGATTGCGTACCGCAACTTCCGACGTTTGCGGGTCGTATCCCGTGCCTCCGGATGCAAAGCTCACGCCCGTTTTCAGATCCTCGGGATCCAGGTTCGGGTCCAAATAAGGAGGTACAAGCTCTTTGATTCCTAGTTCCTCCGCTGCACGAATTTAAATGCTAAACCATCATAACACTTCACCTTATGATAGTCGCGTCAAAGTCAAAACGATAACACTCCTATTTTTTTTTACTTTAACTTAGTTGGAAAATACTGAATTTTGAACAAAGATTTTGACACCACTACTATACAAACATGGAATGGAATGATTAGTTGGTGGGTATACAGGTACCTATATACCTGCCCTACCTATTAGATCAGCTGGCGTTTTGCCATTGGTGAAACGTCCGGTAGGCTTTTGGCCGCCGGCCATGAAGTCTGCGCCGTAGGGCGGGAAGTTACACTTTCCGACGGTGGGGATGTAGTTGTTCATGCCTTGATCGATGATGGAATCCCCAAACCCTATCACCGCCGGCATGGTCGTCGTCCACCCACCCGCCGGTAATTTTGCCCTGGCCTCGCAGCTGCATGCCGCCAGCAGCCATAGAAGAGCCGCCGCACTAGTGTAAGTTAGGATCACTACTTGTGTCGTTGCCCATATGGAGATTGAGCCACACCATTGTAAATTAGCAGACAACATTATATTTGTGTATTAATCGATTGTATATTGAGGGAGTAGGTGAATAATTGGGTTTATATATAAAGTTAGTAAACTTGACATCAATTTACGAAAAAAATACTCCTTTTAAAAAACAATTCCTCTTTCATTTTTTTCACTTCCAACAAAACATTTTCCTTTCTATTAAAAAATCATTTTTACTCTTATTTTTTCATACCCTACTTATCACATCATACCTTTTCTCTAATAATAAATCTATCAAATCTTACTTTTACCCATCACATCAGGGACAAAATTGGAAGTCAACTATAATTTTACACTTCCTTATTTTGCCTTATAGTCAAAGTGGGAATGCTTTTTCCAAACGGAGGGAGTACATTATGTTTCTATAATATAAACGTGATATCAATATCTTTTGTTTTGATTGATTTTAATACTCCATCCGTCTCCAATTTGATTACAAATTGCGGGTTACGAAGTAAAATTTTTTACCTTTTGAAATCATTTTATTTACAAATTTATATATCAATAAGATATAGAAATTACTCCCTCCGTTCCAGAAAACCTTTCTCCTTTCTTTTTTCATCTGTACCAAAAAACACTTCTCATTTATATTAAAAAGTCACTTTTACCCCTTACTTTTTCATACCTTACCTATCATATCATACCTTTTTACTAATAATCTATCCATCAAATCATACTTTTACCCATCACATCAAAGGACATTTTTGGAAATTCAATACAAAAATACACTCCCCTTAAATCGTTCTCGAAAACCAAAACTCTCCATTTTTGCGGGAGGGGAGTAAATTTTTCTACAAGTGGTATTGTACGGTATGTTACCTTCCTAGAGTTCAATTCTCCTCCTTAAATAGATGAGCTACCATACGTACACACCTCACCTCGCTCTGTCAACCAATAAGTAGGTTCGGTTATGTTAGGAAATCCGTCAACTACCATAGCATCCCCAATTGCTTCAGCCTATTTTTGACCAAAAGTAGTTGAAAATATTAGATCTTGAACAAAAATTTTGTTTATCCGAATAGGAGTTACTTGCCAAAAATGAATGAAACCCGACCATAACTAAATCGATATGATGAGTTGTGTTATTGTGCTACTAAGGTCCACATGCCGTCTTAAAAATTCTTCTTATTTTAATTTTTTTGGTTAAACAGTACGTGATGCTCTTTGAGACACAAAATACGAGAAAAAGTATATTAAATTAGAATATAAATTGAGGATATATAGGTTGATATAATTTTTATATATCATATTTTATAACATTTATTTATTTAGATTATGTTTAATTTATGGTCAAAGAGTGTCACAGTTTGACCAAAAAAGTAAAAACATGAAGAATTTTAGAACCAGAGAAATTATTAATTTTCTCATACATTTACATGGCTTGTTTTAGTTTGTACATCGTATGTATTAAGATCTATTAGGAAGTTTAATTAAATTAGGATACTTCTTTCTTTTCCTACTAGGATTATTCTTTCCTTTCCTACTTGTACTTTGATTACTCTTGTATTCCCTATATATAGGGCCATATCTCTCAATATTCAGTAAGACAAGTTATTATCAAATTGTATCATGGTATCGGAGCTAAGGCTCTCAAAAACCTAGCCTCTCTTTTTTTTCCGACCGCCGCCCACCATGGCAGCCCCGTCGGATCCTTTGGCGTCCTTACCCTCCGGAGTAAAACTTTTGCTTCGGAGTCTCCACAACTTAATCCCAGAAAAACTCACCGAAACAAATTATCCGGCATGGTCTCTCAATGTCCAGACAGCTCTTTCAGCTAATCTCCTCCTTAAATGGATTGATGGTCATTAAGTAGCCCCGGCGCCAACTATTTCCAAAAACGATAAAACCGTCCCTAATCCAGAGTATACCTCCTGGACCATCGTTGACACACAGATCCGCGCCTGCCTCCTAGCGGTCCTCAGCCTCTCCGTTCACAAACATGCTCGCGGCTTCACCACATCTGCTGCCCTCTGGGATGCTTTGGCCGCACGGTACAACTCCGTGTCCACCGCTCATGTTTATCAGCTTCGGGACAAACTCCACACTCTTCGTAAAGGTACCAAAACTATGACACAATACCTTGATGATGTGGCAACTATTCTCTCGGATCTCGATGCCTTGAAAGAAGAGATCCCTGAACGTGATGTGGTGAATGTTGTTATTCGTGGTCTTCCCACCGAATACTCATCCTTTAAGC